CAGACATTTATTGACTGCCTATTGTGTGCAAGGCACTGTACTAGGCATGAGGCTACAAAGATAAAGGAGCAACAGTTCCTGCCCTCAAGGAGCTTACAATCTAATTAGACTGACAGGACACATACATGAGAAGACAGAACAACCCAAGGTAGTATGTAACATTAGAGCTCTAAGTAGAAACAAACAGTGCTGCGCCGCTTTTTTTTTTTTTTTTTTTTTTTTTTTTTTTTGCATTTCCATGTTGGTTCAATACCCTGAGTTGGTGGGGACGAGTGAGATAGAATAGAGGGCTTACTCCTGTTCATGTTTGAATCTTATGGACACTCTACTACCACTCTCCATTCCAAATTATCTTCTGGCATATACTAGAACCTAGGCAATTGGTTCACTTTTCCCTCCAAGGCCTTAGCATCACAGTTCTTTTTTTGAGGTGGCCTTTTGATAGGGTGACTCACTATCCTGGTTTGCCCAGGACTGTCCTGGTTTCAGTACCAGGAGTCTGTGTCTTGGTCCTCCTTCCCTCTCCTACTCCCCTGGATCTGGGAAACCAGGATGGTATTTCAAAAACCCTTGTCTTGTAGCCAGATATACTCCTCTCATCTAATATGGTCATGGCAGGACCTACCCCAAACCTGTTCCTAAGATAGGTCTCTAGTTTAAAAATCTACTGGGGGGACCTTAACAGCCCCCAAAGACTGCTGGTTTAAGAGCACACTGTGGACAACAAAAAGCCTACCATGAGAGAATGATAACAACAAGACAAAATGCGGTTCAAGAGAGAAGCAGTGAGGATGGAAGAAGTAACTAGATCAGGTATGAAATATGCAGGCGTGTTATCACCTGACAATTCAGTGAGAGAGAATGGGAACAGAGACCCTTCTCAGAGTAGGTCTATTGGGAAATCTCAATCATCACCCTCTTGGAAGCCAGGGTATATTTCTGAAATGAGGCCATGCCTACATGAGGGTAAATATTTGGTCTATTGTAAATAGGTTCTTAAGTGTTTAAATAACACTATCTTAGTCCTAACAGAATTTCAGCTTTTCCTTCCACTTTTACCTAGCATTCATTTAGCTTCGAAATCAAGATTTTTAATCTTTGAGGGGGGTTTTGATTTTAAAAATGAGGTTGTAGCCGGCCACTCATTTAGCTTCGAAATCAAGATTTTTAATCTTTGAGGAGGGTTTTGATTTTAAAAATGAGGTTATAGCCGGCCACTGTGGCTCAGTGTTTGAACATCAACCTATGAACCAGAAGGTCATGGTTCGATTCCCCGTCGGGGCACATACCCAGGTTGTGGGCTTGGTCTCCAGTGGGGGGATGGAGGGTGCAGGAGGCAGCCGATTAATGATTCTCTCTCATCATTGATGTTTCTATTTCTCTCTCCCTCTCTCTTCCTCTCTGAAATCAAGAAAAATAATTTTTAAAAATGAGTTTATATCCTTCCATTTAAATGTAATTCAAATAATACTCTCAACAATGAAGGTTAAGATAAATAACTAAATAAATGTAATTCAAATAGATCAGTAATGGAGAGAATTTCAGAAAACAAAGGCAATCTGTCTTGAGAAGTGTTGTTTGGGATCTGATACACATATCTAGTAGTCACTAAGGACTCCACGAAACCATACACAATTTTCTCTTTTAGGTACAATACTTCGTGTTTTGCTTTCACTTAATTTTTGAAGAAAAGCTCTAACTCTGAAATCTTAGGAAGTTGCTGAACCACCCCGGTTTTACATCTAGCCCTTAGGAACACATACCAGGGTTACTGAAGCGCAGGGACTCAGTTACCAAACACCCATCAACCTCAATGGAAACCACACAGCGAAGTCCCCACACAGCACACTGAATATTCACCTCCTAATGTTCTTTTAATGTACGCTTTCTTGGGTGAATATTTACTATAGAATATTAAATGCAAGTTCCTCTTTTCATGGGCCATTTGAAGTGATTGATTTTGTTTGTGAATTCCTGTATCTTTGCTCATAATGGCTATCTATTGTAATGGCCTCTGCCAAATGTTGTTGCGTTGAAATAAGAGACGCTATGGATCGTCCAGCTGTGGCTTTGTGCTACTGGGTTCTTAGGCTAGAAGGAAGCTGATGACAGCTGGGGAGAGAAGAAAAAGGTATGTAACATAACGAGGATGACTTAGGCTTCAAACACAATCAGATACTGAAATCACTGAGGTCTGTAAACATGGTTTTATAGTCACCTTTTATATCAGAGTTGATGCTTAATGGTGTTGAATGGTGTTAAGACTGATAGTTATGAAATAGTGGCAATATAAGAATTCAATTGCCCACAACCAGGTCCATCAGCACAATCTATCAGAATTCTAGGCATTTTCTTTAAATGCTGTAATAAAACCACTGCCTAAGTGATAATTTCTTACATTTATTTATAGCATGTTTTAAAAAATATAAACTCACACACTCACATGTCCTAGCTACACATATATTTAAAATATTTCCCAGTGAAGACAGAAATTTCAGAATTTTTTTTCACTCTTTTGGGTATTTGAGAGGGAGGAGTTACAAAAAAAGATGAAGCTATCATGAGGTCTTTAAAAAACAAACAAACCCTAAAACTTGAAGATAACACAGACATTTGAGATATTATTGGATTAGTAATATATACTTCGTTGCATTTCCCAAGTATGCCTTCTTAACTGTCCATAAAAGTAGTTAAAGGAGCTACTTATACCTGAACAATATAATCCCTTCAAGTGATGGTAAGGGTGGCCTGTAAGTCAATTATCTAAAGTTTATACACTTTTCAAAGGTTCATAAAGTATTGTGTATTCAGAGTCCATGCTGCAGAAGAGATTGTACTGGAAAAAAATTCTCTTTACAAACTATGAGAAAATTTATAGGACACATTCCAGTATGTTTTGAACAGACATTTCAATTGTACTGGCTTTTAATAGCTCAAGCCACACCACGATAACACCAACTTCATTTTGCTATATGTATAAATATCTAGGCCGTGTTTGCATCTCAACAACCAGACTCCAGGTAATTAATAGTACCAGTTATTGCAGGGACATGGGATCTTAGTACTGATTAAGGACAGGGAAAAGAACTGGTAATGTGAGACAACTTCTTGACACACAAGCCAGGTCATGTTCTGTAAAAACAACATCAGTCTTCATACCTGGTATTTGCTGGTGCCTTCAAATTTGGCATTAGAGAAACTAATGCCTCTTAATCCATGGGTAAAAACACACACACACTGCTATATCTTTTAAAAGACTATTTTTGAACGATATTACTTGCTTAAATGAAAATCTCTCATACCGACTGACCTTGGCTCTGAACAAAATAAATCCTTCACACTCCTCCACACCAGGGATGAATGGTGGTGAATATAATGTAAGATCTGCAGGGAGTGAATCTAAATAGTTCATAGGATAAATGCGTGATATGATGGGAAAATTCTCCTGACAGACTCACAGAAGTGCAGTCCCTTGCTCTTGTAGTCAGGCAACACCATGGAAGTTCTCTCTCTTTCTTCTCTCTCTCTCTCTCAAAGCAGGAAGTAGATTTTAGTTACTGGGGACCAGGGATAACCTATGTTTTTAATCACAAGAGGGAGATAGGTAGTAGGGCAATATGAAAGGCCCCTGGTACTGTGGGAGCCCCATCATTCCAAGTTCAAGGTCCTGAAATGACTCAAAGTCCCGTAGAATTTCAGGTTTGGAATGAAATGTTAAGAGATCATCTAGTACAGGGACATCATTCTGCAGAAGAGGAAACCAGGGCTTAAGTGAACTCCACCAATTATTACTACAGGAAACTATCGTTCAGTTTCTCTTCTTCGTCTCTTTCTGTGTTAATGACACAGTTTTTGGTTTTCAGTTTTTGTCATTTGGAGCATTTCTGCACCTTGGAAAATGTTATAGCTATTCTGGAAGCCTAAGGGCTCAGAAAATGCAAGACAACATTGCCGAGCGAAAATTCCAACTGCACGCTGACAATGAGCCTTGTGAGCACAGCAACTCATCAACCCGATTCCAGGCCTTTCCAACCATCGTTGGGGATTCAAGAGTTAGAATAAAATACCTAAATAAAGATAGGGCTAAATTACCACATAATAATCTATAAAAATACTGGCCTAGAGTACACTACAAAACTCTTCGTAAATAAATACTGGGCATTTACTTTATGAAAGTCCGTGGAGCTGTGCTCATCAGAAACACTTTCAGGCAGCTTTATACAAACCACACACACAGGGGCCAACAGATGACAAAGGTTATAGGTCAGGTCAGGATACACCTTGATAGAAAAGTGTCTTTTGACATGGCATTTCTATAAAGGAATACACCTAATAAATGCTGCTGAGCTGCTCATGTTTCAGTTTTGAAGGCAATACTTAAAGAGACCCAAAATGTAACCATGGCAGCATCATTGAAATAAGAGGTCTGCTTCTTTGAAAGGGAGAACACGCATCAGAGTGCATTAATTCTGGCATTTTTCTGTAAGCCAGCGGTGCTGTTTTGTAGTCACTTCTCGTAGGCATCTGCACATGGTACTTCTTGAGGAGTGAAGCCATTTCCTGCCAGTTCTGTTCCTCTTTCGTGTCTGGGGCTCAGGAAGTCCAGTGGCCTGGTGTCTGGTACAGTGGGTGCTTGGGGTTTAGGTCTGACCCGCTTATTCCTCAGAACACAGGTTTATTCTCAGGATGATTTATAGCAAGTGATTCTGGTTTCCAGTCTGGTTGAAAAAAGTGAATATTGAATGTCCGTGCCCAGTTCTTAAAGACTCGTTTCTCCGTGATGAAGCGGTGATGACTGCCCTTCCGCCCTCGCTCATGGGACAGGTACATTGTACATTCATCTGGTCCGAAAGGTTCATAATAGTGATAAGGGACTGACGGGTGGTTGGGATCCCTGTAGAAGGAAGATGAAATAAGTCATTAAAGCAAAAAAAAAAAAGCTTTTTTGACTGACTGAGGTAAGAGTTATCTTTAATAAGCTGGTAAGCACAAATCGGTGCTGTTTTGTAGTCACTTCTCGTAGGCATCTGCACATGGTACTTCTTGAGGAGTGAAGCCATTTCCTGCCAGTTCTGTTCCTCTTTCGTGTCTGGGGCTCAGGAAGTCCAGTGGCCTGGTGTCTGGTACAGTGGGTGCTTGGGGTTTAGGTCTGACCCGCTTATTCCTCAGAACACAGGTTTATTCTCAGGATGATTTATAGCAAGTGATTCTGGTTTCCAGTCTGGTTGAAAAAAGTGAATATTGAATGTCCGTGCCCAGTTCTTAAAGACTCGTTTCTCCGTGATGAAGCGGTGATGACTGCCCTTCCGCCCTCGCTCATGGGACAGGTACATTGTACATTCATCTGGTCCGAAAGGTTCATAATAGTGATAAGGGACTGACGGGTGGTTGGGATCCCTGTAGAAGGAAGATGAAATAAGTCATTAAAGAAAAAAAAAAGTTCCTTTGACTGACTGAGGTAAGAGTTATCTTTAATAAGCTGGTAAGCACAAATCATATTTTCAAGTTAAATGAATTTCAACAAATGTTTTCATTCCGATGTTTAAGCCATAAGCACGCAGAGAGGTTTTATGTTGTGAAATAAAAACAGTGGCCATCATTATCAGACAGAGAGATTCGAACAGTACAGTAGGACATTCGGGCTTTTGGGATTCAAAAACTATATATTATTAAGACCCAACTAGACTCCTTACTTCTACTCTTGCACCCATACAGTCTATTACTACAAGCATCTCTAGAGATATTTGTAAAATAAAAACAGATTATTTCCCTCCCCTATTCCAACTCCCAAATGGTCCAGAGACATCCAATTATACTAAGAGGATGGCCTTATAGGGTGTTAGTGATCTGACTCCTTTCCAGACACAGCCTTCTCCTAATCCACTTGACTTTGTCCCCTATGCTGCAGTCATACTGGCCTCTGGTCGTCAACCCCTCCAAGCTTGTCCCGACCTTGTGGCCTTTGCCCTTGAGGGCCATCACCTGGCTGGAACATGCTCTCACCAGCTCACTCCTCTCACCTTTGAGGATGGACTCAAATGTACTCTCCTCAGAGAGGCTTTACCTGGTGCCCGCCCCTCCACGCCCTCTCACTCGGATTTATTTTCTTTACAGCATCTGTCTGAAGCTGCTGTTGTTTCCTTGCTCATTGTCTGTTCATGAGGTCAGGTCTTTGTCTTGTTCCTAGTAGGTGCTCAATAAATAATTTTTGAATTTCTGTTGTTGAAAGAAATTTATATGGAGCTAGAGCTACACAGCAAGCCTCTAAAGACAATCTCCTCTCCAGGTATGGAAGGCTGATGATCTTAATTTGATTGCTTGAAAGAGAAAGAAGACAGAAGTCACAATGCCTTCATTTTCCTCCTGTTGTCCAGACAGATGACGATGCACTCAACTCTAGAGTCTCTAAACCCAGAAACTCTAAATCCTCAGTCCCCGCTGTGCAGCCTGACAGTCCCAATGTTTTCACGTCTATATCCGTCTCCACTTCAAACGAGAAACACTGGCTCATGTCTTCAAGGTTGTGTGTGCCCTTGTTGTAGGGTTACTAAAATATCTATAACCAAAGAGCCCTGGTTTCAGACTGGCTTTCATTCTAGGCCAGTCTACTCTACCTCTTCTGTCTTGAAGTCTAGACGGTAAGGTTAGTTATGATATCCCAATAGGTAAGTCTTCCTACCTTGAGCTAACCAATATTGGGGCAGAGATTATGCTCTTTTTTGTCTCTTCTTAGCTCTCTTCTTAAAAGGGCCAGGCAGCTCCAGCCAGTTTGGCTCAGTGGATAGCGCATTGGCCTCTGGACTGAAGGGTGCCTTGGTTGAAAGCTCGATCCCTGGCCCTGGTTGGGGGGAGTGCGGAAGAAGACCAATCGATGTGTCTCCCTCACATCAATGTTTCTCTCTCTTTATCTATCTCTCCTCCTCCCTTCCACTCTCTCTAAAATCAATGAAAAAATAACCTCAGGTGATGATTTACCAAAAACAAACAAACAAAAAAGGGCCAGGCATTCCAGCAAACCACCTTTCAGCACCTAGTGTCCTGGGTCCCCTCCGGTCCTCAAGATGCTCATCCTGTTAGACACCTATTCATTTTCTTCGGAGGAGATCAATACACAAATGGCTTTTAGAGTAGCAACTCTACTGGAGTCAGGGATCAAAGTATTCTATCAAGAGGGGTGTTGAGTGTGTGGCTCTGACAACAATAAACCTTTGAGCTGCCTCTCCTCGGAGGTTAAAGTTCTTCCAGGAAGAGAGATTTATTTTGGTCATGCAACATTCAAACATTCCTCATCCTGGGTTGGATGCTGTGCTGAATGAGTACTTTGCATCTCTATTATGCCCATCTCAGAAGTATCTATATGTTGTGTAGTGAAACATCAGCAACTGTCCTGTTTAGTTATGACAGATGTCACTTATTTACTTACCCTAGAAATTGGAGTCTCCTTAAATAGAAGATGTGTTCAATATAGAAAATGCATGCTAGGAAAAGAGTAAGTTGGAACTACCACTATGAAAAAAAGAAACGAAATAGAATCTTGTGAGACAAATGTCCCTAAATTCCCATGGCATAATTTTGGGAACCATGCCAAGTTCATGCTGCTGTGGTCTACCTGGGGTTAAGCTTCTAATCCAGTACAGATCAGGCTTTAAGTCTGATTCCTCTAAGTTTTGGACATATTCTTGGCATCAATCTGACTGAAGAAACAATTAGGTTTCTAAAAATATCCAGGAGATTGATTTGGCACCTGGAATAGAGGGAAATTGGAAACCAGTTGAAGGATGCTGGAGGATCAATTTCCTCATTCAGGATGACCATCGCTTTGAATGAAACCCTATCTGGCTCTATATTGATTACCTAAAGGGAGAATTAAATTTACATATTTGGTAAATTTAATTCTTGATTTCAAAGGTGTCCAAAGCAGTGGGGGTTGTTTGCATCCACTACAACTCTGTCCAAATGGCAGACACGTGCTTTGTGGGACTGAGGAGGCAGAGCCGCAGCCCAGCTGTAATCCACCTTTCCATTCAGAAAGCCCTTCGCAGTTCAAGGTCAAACCTGACTTTCTAAAGGCTGCCGTGGCTTTTTCCTCCTTCACCTGATCCCGGTGGAAACAACAATAAACATCAGCAGAAATGCCACACCAGGAGGCCACAGTTGTAAAGGGAAGGTCTGTCCCTAAGTCCCTGTTTGGGGCCAGGGGACCTGAAGGAGTGAAGGTGGGTGTGAGGCAGGGGCGGTAGCTAATCACAGAGCCGGTTACCTAAGCGGCTGCAGCCTGTCATCAGTACTCCAGGGCCAGAGCAGAGCTAGTCCTGCAGAATAATGTAAGGAGGAAATTTTTTTTCTTTATGAAGGAAGCAGGTGGGGAGAGTGAGAGAACTCACATTTAGTGCACACGGGGAGCTTTAAAGGAATACTGTTGTCTGTGTTCCACCTCCATAGATTCGGATTTAATTGACTTGGAGAGGGTCCCAGGCCTGGGTGTTTAAAAAAATGCCTTAGGTTTCAGTATCAAAATAAATAATGACAGTACGGATTATAAAACCCATAAAATAAAATAAATATCCACGAGTCCATGATGATCTTAATAAACAACTGAGTAATTAAATAAATGAGGGAGATGAAATGGTATTTCCTTAGAGAAGAATTCCAATGAACAAATCCAAAAAGAATGGGGGAATAGAAATCACCATTAAAAGAGCATAGTCATTGTTTCAGGCAAGATGCACCAATGAATAGAACATTAGTGGGGATATAGATAGGAGAATTGGGTTATTTGCATATAGTATCTTTCCCCAAGCTACTTATTAATGACAAAGGGGAATAGTAACTTTTCAATGAGTAAACTCAGCAGACACCACTTCAGCCAAATGATAAGGGTTAACATGGCCAGCAATAAGACATTTTGACACCATGGACCTCTTGATATGAGATGCTAAGGGCTTATCTCTTCTGTGATATCCTTCCCAGTAATGTGTAACCTCAATATAATCACAGAAATACAAAGCGAGGGACATCCTACAGTAATGACCAGAATTCTTCAAAAACATCAAGGTCGTGAAAGATAAGGAAAGACTGAGGTCACAGATGGGAGGAGACTAAGGACACATGACAAGGAAAAGCAAAGGCATCCTGGGTTGGGTCTTCCAAGGACTAAAGGGCATCAGTAAGAAAACTGCAGAAGTCTGAGTAAAATCTGGTTTAGTTAGGAGTATTACACTGGTGTTAATTTCATAGTTTCAATAATTGGACCTTAATTATGCAAAATATTAACGTTAGGGGAAGCTGGGTGAAGGGTATACCAGAACTCTCTATATTATTTTTGCAAGTTTTTCTATAAGTCTAAAACTTGATGATCAAAACATAAAATTAAAAAGATATAATAATGTTACAAAGCTCCTTAGGGGATTCTTCTATGCAGCCAAGTTTGAGATGGCTGATTTAATTAAATACCTGCTAAGGACTTGGTGCTTAAGTTACATTACCGCATTTACTCCTCCATCCATCTAAGGTAAGTATACCTGCTACATTTGATAGGCGAGTGTCTGGCACCCGGGTAGAGTCCAGTGCCTGGCTTCATTCACGGGCCACCCAAGGTGCCAGACTTGACCCTTTCAACCCCAAAACCAGTGCTCAGCACTCTACATAGACCAATTTATCTACTCCTCACTGCACCCTAGTGAGAAAGGTACTGTCATTATTGCTATTTTACAGATGAGAAAACTCATGCAGAGAGAAATTGGAGAACTTTCAGGGCCCAATTTTGGACCAAAGTTGTCCTCTTAAGAGTGAGGCTTTGTGTCTTGGAAAAACTCCTGTCTCACCACATGGGTTTCTGTACTAATGGCACCCCAGGTTCCCACTGGGGTTGGCAACACATGGTTGGGAACAACTTTGTCCTTGTGCATTTTCCCAAGCACCTATCCTCAGAGGTGCCCCGAGCTTGTGCAGCTGGTCAGGGTGTGAAGCAGAGGTCTCATGCTCATGGGCAATCCTGCCCACTAATGTTAATGGCAGCGGGAGTTTGTCATGTCCCATTTTTCAACCTTCTAAAGCTAAGCTGTACAACTGGAAAGAAACCTATAACATTAACAAGCAAGGGAGGATAATTGCATTTCCGGATATGATCTAGGTCAGCCCTGCTCTCTGGGTTTGCGGCTGGATTATCTATAAGGAAAGAATGATGCCTTTGCTTCTCTCTAGACGCTCTCTCTAAACACTCTTCTATTCTTGGCGTGGTACTTGGCATACTAGGTAGTCAGGAAATGTTTGAGGAAGGGAGTGAAATCAATAACTGTCAAGTGTCTGCGTTGTTCTGAAATTGGCTTGCAGGGGGGCCTTTGGGAACACTGTGTAACATTCAGAAGAAAATGTTCCTGAAACAGGCCTTCCCAAAC